TTGCAAGCAGTATTGGAATGAGGGGATGTTGATGCAGTCATTCATCAGCAGAACTTCAATGTTTTTGGAAGAAAAGTGTAGGATGAACGCAATTTAAGGCTGAAATCTAATGCTAATTAAAACAGCGCTTTCAGCATAAGTATGAATCCAAAGACAATAGAATAAAAGACATGGGGAAGGCAAAGCATTAAGACCAGCAGGGAAATATATCGATGCTTTTCCTCCTGTTTTATCAAGTATGTACATGTCTGAACCTGTTCTTCAATTCCCTAGCCCTGGGAGGACAGACCTAAGGAAAAGCAAGGTCGTGTCTGCAGGGCGCTGCCCACCGATGGCTTATTGACCAGCACTGGCCATGTGCATCCCAATGCAATGCAGAGAAGATCAGTTGCATGCAAGAGGCTTTTAACAGAAGTGCGAGCTCATTAGTTTCACAGTGTATTTGGATCGGGGGGGAGATCAGGAAAGGATGGAATAAACTTTTGTAGTGGGATTTTAAAACAAAGAATGAAATGGGGGCAGCCCTTGTTCCCTTAATGGATAGATATTTGTTGTTTAAATAATCTCATAAACTGGGAAGTGATGGGGGGGGGATAAATGTTTAAAATAATGGAACAAAGTGTCCTAATTAAGTTGTAAAGTAGCGCAAAAGCACAACATCTAGCTTTCTTATTAATTGAAAAGCCTGCAACCCAGTTCAACAAGAAGAAAATGAGTAAATAAATTGGAGACACTGCTCTTTTGGTTTATTGATGCTGTTATGGCCAAGCTGAGAATTCAGCTATTCTAAAATGATCAAACATTGTTTGGGGGAAAAAAAAGAATTTCCAAACTGGCCTCATTATCTGAGACGAGCTTAAAAATAACAATTAAGGTAGTGTAATTTCTCTTCTGCTTACTTCAGTGTGCAGAGATGAAACTGTGGGAGTGTCCTGGCTGCCTGATCATTGCTCTTTTCAAAGAACAGCCAGAGTTTTATCTTAACAGACAAATCCCTTGTTAGCTGCAAGGGAGAAATAATATAATGATGAGGGGCAAAGTACCATGCAACTCAAAAGGAAACAAATGTGCATGCATTTGCTGGTATTGCAGTGAAAATTCTTTGATAAGTGTCTGGCAGGCACTTCTGTAAAACCCAATTGCTCCAAGAGATGTAAATTTTATTTCTTTTATATAGATAGATAGATATAAAAGATTTTTCTCATGTATCTGTGTGGTTTGTATCTAAATATGGGAAGGTCTGAAAGAAAAGTCACCACGGGGAATGCAATCACAAAAGTCATTCTTCTGATTTCATCTCTTAAAACAGACCAACTGGTGCTTAGAAAGCTTTGAGTAGTGCCAGTATGAAATGGATTGTGTATGGGAGTCTACATGGTCAGTGCTTCAGGTTATGATAACCCACCCCCCTCCTAATTTCTGCACCTGGCCTTGTAAGTTAGCAGAGTGCAATGGCTTTGGTTGGTCAGCAGAGCAGGTGAAGTTTGCAACCCATGAACTATGTAAGCAAAGAGCTTTAGGCCCAGCGTGATTCTAATGGTGAAGCTTTAACTTCAGAAGCTTTGAATGGACTCTGTGTCTATGTATGTACTTTCATAAGGTATACAACAAGTAACCCTACGCACCAAAACGTATGTACTCCATCGAGATGATGTCAGTTTGATCTGCTTGAATGATACGACCTGGATGCATCATTCTGCTTTGAGCCCTTGGCTGCCACGTGGGCTGCAACACCAGTGCTGCCAACTCCAAATCTTAAACACGATCAGCAGAAGGCAGTGCTGTCTTCCAGGGGAATAGAGAGGTTTTTCTCTTGTTTTTTTTTTGTTAGTTTGTTTTGATTGTTGTAGGCAGTGGATTGCATTGTTTCTGGTGTGAAAAGAGCCATTGGGACACAATGCAGAGATACGACATGATTAACTTAAAAAATATCAGTGCTTGTGAAACTCCATCCAATCTGTATTTCTCTAATAAACCTTCTCTCTTTAAATAGCTCACGTTAAAAATAATGGCGTGTTGAGTGAATGGAGGCATTGCAGCATTGAGAAGAGACTCCGAAGTGCTGACTTGTTGAGATGTGTTTTACTTTTGTCAGGAAGATTGAGCAACGTTCCTATATGAATTCAGGTTTCCCGTTCTCAAATACTGTGAAAATGTACATTTTGGCACCTGTAAAACATTAGTGAGGATCATTTCTTTTTGAAAACGTAGGCCATGTGGCTGTTAACATAGGAAAAAAAAATTGTGAATCTCACAAATAAGGAAAATTAAAAATAATCCGTGTTCTGTTTTATCCACCTCCAGGTAAAGCTTTTCTGTGTATTGAAGTATTACTTCCAGTAGTTCTCCAACAGCCTTGAGAACGAGAGCCTCTCTTGGTTTTAAGATGTGGGATTTGCACATTTGAAACCACAGTTTCAAGGAAAATATCAGCTCTTGTGAAACTGTACGAGTTGGCACTGATGTGTATCCTGGCTGCTAACTGCTGTATATTGATTTTTCTCATTGTTGGTTTTTAGTTTTCCGAAATAGATTTTGTTTCATTTGCGTGTGTTGGGGGAAAAAGAATCAACGTTGCTGATATTTTAGAGGACTATTTCATAAGGAAGAAAAGAGTTGAGCTTCTTGTTAACCAGCTGGAATTCCCAACAGCCAAGAGACATGGAGACATGGAGAGACTCTGAATGATGGGGAAATTCCTTAGTGGCTGACCAAGAAATGGCTTACCATACACCCAGTGCTGCACCAATATTCAAGTTTACTACGTGTTCAGCTGTGTTACGGACAGAGATCTTGCTGCTTACCAGTCTGCTTGTTTAAATGAACACGGTAGGCAAAAGCAGATGGGAGGTCATTGGGAACACAGCAGCAGAAGGCTTTCATGCCCATCCGCAGACACCATGCTGCGGTCCCCAGCTGAGTCCTGGGCTCTCAGAGACGTGCAGTTCACCTGCCTGGATTTCTGATGCCGCTGATGTTGCTTTGGTTTATTGCTTGACTGCTGCTTTCAGTCTTATTTCTCCTGCTCAGAACAAATGATTAAGAAAGGATTTCCCCATCTTTTCAGTTGACACCCTTCTGCCCCCAAAAAGGAACGCGTTCTGTGCAGTTCAGCGTGTGATGCTTTAATAATGTATAAATCAAGCTGGACAGGACCGCCTGTCAGTTTTATTAACTTTGACCTTTTCTCCCATTATAAGGATGGTTTGGTAAATATTTAATGGGCCATTATAGATTTTGACAGTCGTATCTGCATTCCTGGAAGCGAAGGTAGATTATGTACAAATACTTATAATTAATAAAAATAGCTTTGCCACTGGGAGCAAGCCTTCAAGGACAGAATTGTTTCTTAGGATCTATTTATTTTTACTTCCTACTTTCCTTGCGTTTTGCCCACTAAATGTCAGGCTGGCCAGTTAGGTTATGAAACGTTTTCAAAAGGTTACATTTAAAATTCATTTATGATTAACGCCTGTGATTACCTCTGTCTTGGAGCAAGTGGCCGATTGATGTTATTTACTTGAGATATCTGTCAGTGTCGTTCTGTGCAGTGAACTGATGGCATCAACAGCACAAAATGGCTGAAGCTCGTAGGATGCAAGAGGGAAAGGTGCACTCCTGGAGTCAGAGGGTCTTCTGCCAGAGCTGCTTTTCCCTTTAATTCCCGACATATTGCACTCCCTGCAAATTCTGGGAGTGAAGATTGAAAACTAAGCCCCTGACACCTTGAAACATTGCCTTTTGAACGATTACTGTCCATTGCTCTCATTGATTTTTTCATTTCAGAAATCTGTAGAAGAACAAATTTGAGCAAAATCCATGGGGCTCGGAGGAGTTGGTAGGGCAGTGCTTGGTGCTGTGCCACTGCTCACACCGTGTGCCAGGGAAGTCAGGACCATGTCAAGGCACTCCATTTTCTCCAGGCTTTGTCATTTGGGTTTGGTTGGCTGGCTGGATGGTTTTGCTCATGTTAACAGCCACCTTCCAGTAGATTGCTTTACCAAGCCTTGTGTCCCATGGATTCAGTCAGTACCCTGCAGAATAGCTGTGCCTAAAGCTGCCTTATGTTCTGAATGTTGTAAGTCATCATTTCCTAACTGTACATCTTTTTGTGTGTGGATCATGGGATCAATGTTGGTAAGTTGTTAAACAGTTCACCTTTATCAGAACAATTCTGTAGATGGTTTAATGAAAACGTTGATGTAGGGATTGGCTGAAGAAGGGGATTGCGTTTGTCTCATGTTGAACCTTGAGCTTTTTTCCATTTCCTCTTCAAAAGGGAGAGCCAGGAGCTTGAGCTGAAAGCATCTCGAGGTGGACTTGGAACCTGTTGCACTGGAAATTGGTTTCAGGATGGGCACAGCATTGTGGCTGTTCTCAAATTTGTGAGCAGTGGGAGTGCACTGAAACTTGTAAATTCACATATGTCCTTCATAAATTGTCTTTTATTGACAGGTAAAATAAAAGGTTAGAGAAGAAAGCTACTGAATACGAATCTTTCTGCTGTAACACTATCAAGATACGCTACTTGATATTTAAAAGGCTAGATTTTTCTTTAGACTGACAGAAGCTTCTTTGTGAATGCTGTGTTTTAGGGAAAAAAAGATGAGCATTATTTTAAAAAGAAAAGTTTATACAGTGATAAAGTCACACCTTTCTTCCTATTACCTTCTTTCGGAAAGTAAGGATGCTCGATCCCTTGAGAGGAGAACAGTCTTAATGCTAAAATGCAGCTCCGAGTTTCAGGAGAGTTAGGACTTTCTCAAGTCTTTGATGCATCATCTTACTTTCCCAGTGGCATAGTTTCCTTGTAATATGTATTTCACAGCAGACTTTTATATGCTTTTGTTCGTATCATCTTCTATCCAAGCAATACATGAAATAGCATACATTAGCTTACTGGCTGGCTGATTTTTTTAATCAAGCGATACAGATAGTAGAAGTCTGACACAGAACACTGCAGTGGTTTGTGTTTTAATGTATGTTTTTTCCTTCCCCAGCTGCAGTACCATGCCGGGCTAGCATCTGGCCTTTTGAATCAGCAGTCTTTGAAACGCTCAGCCAACCAGATGGGGGTATCTGCAAAACGCAGACCGAAAGCCCAGCCAACAACTCTCGTCTTACCTCCCCAGTAAGTAATGGAATCTTATGAATATTTTGAAGAGTTTGCACAGTGGGGTGGGGATTATTTGGGATTTTTAATAAGATAAATACACTACAAAGTCAGTAGTCATAAAAACTTTGAGCTTGTGTTTTTGTTTCGTGCCAAGTGAATTATTCTTGTTGGGTGGTTGGGATATTCTATGGGAGCAATCTTTTGTTTCCCCTCCTGGAAGAGGCAGTGCTCTGAGAACAGAAAAGTTGGAAGGATGCTTTTTAGTAGCGGGTCATAGAAATTTTTGCAACACAGAATTGTCATTGAGGAATGATGTTCCCTTGATTAGTATGACGTGGAGCTTCAAGAAGGACTTCTCTGAAGGTCCTGAAAGGCAGGAGCCAAGCCATTTTTGGTGTGAGTGCTTCCTTGACAAATGTCTGTTCCGAGTCCATCTGTTCACCATATGTTAATTTTGCATTGGATCTAGACCTCTTTTACAGGTGACAAGCAATTACGAAGACACTTAGAAACTGTTTGAGGACACAGAGTATCAACACTTCAGGCAGTCTGTGTACTGATGCCAGAAACACGGAGATGCTCACAACTAAGCTTATGAATTAATAAACTGCTTAAAATATTTAGTTACATATAAGAAAATGATTATTATGTAGAAAATGAAGTGCTAAGCAATTATTCATTGTACTGAGCATCTCTGTGGAAGCTGTGTGCTTTTTTTCACAGAACAAGAGTCACTGGTGTATAAACACCATGCTACTAAAAATGTCGTGGTTGTAATAATAACAAGTCCTCTTGTCACAGGACTCCACAGCTCGTGAAGGAATCAAAAGAAGTTTAGATTTGTTCTCTATATGGCCTGAGAATAGATGACAATAGACAGGACATTCCCCACGTATATTAACTTTAAAGGATTGTGAGAATCCATACGGTGTTCTACTGCTGCAGTGAGGCATCATTCAAAGTGGCTAGGAGGGCAGCTGTAGCAGAGCCACCAGTTTGAAAAGCAGGTGCTGTTTGTAGTGTATTTGTGGAAAAAACACAGGTGTATTATGATGGACTTTGGCTCAGTGTTGTCTTTTTTTTTTCTTTTTCTTTGTTGGACCATTGAGTTTTGCCATCAATAAAGCTGAGCGCTGTGGTGCTAGTTGTCATGATTTGTATTCAGAGGCCTTAAAGTCATGGCTTCTCCAGTTCCTAGCATTACTTTAATGACAGAGAAAGAGCTGTTGTAACGTTTTTTCATATAGAAAGGTCTGTACCTGTATATTCTATGTCAAATGTAAGGGAAAAAACATTGCAGCAGTATAAATCTTTACGCAGTGTGCAATATACAGATTTACCTAACAGTAGTGATGTCTTTTTTTTTTATCTGCAGGTGATTATTCCTTTTCATTTAATGACACTCTTATCTAGAATTTGCAGATAGGTACCATGTTAAAATTTAGTTACAAAGTTTAGCTAGTCTTGGAATTATATTCTGATATTTTATTACCGTTTCCAGCACTGTTCACAGTCAAAACACGTTTGTACTGAGCTGGCCCTTTATCCTCTTTATTTTTTCCTCCCTGACTTCTTTGCCCTTCCAGATTTTGTTGTTACCTGCTATCTTGGTGTGTCTTAAGAAGATAATAATAGTTATATTAAATGAAATCAAATACCTGTTGAGCTCGATGTCGCATTTCCAACACAAGGCAGAGGCAGATTATTAAAAGACATAAAAATAGACTTTTGAAAAGTGGTTTTATGGAAAAAAAAGAAAAAAGTGTGACAAACGGAATTTTAATATCTTGTTTTTTGTTGTAGTTTCATGCAAATAATGATGAATAATTTTGTTATTTTCTTTCTTCAATCTCTATAAAGTGCAAAGGAAGAAAACATCCAGGTGCAAAATTATGCATCTCCTTGAAGGGACACATTTTAGAAAAAAGACTCTTTTAGTTTCAATACAAAGTTTCCAATGTCACTTCAGAATTTTTTTTTATATTATTAATATTAATATTAATTTTTTTTTAGATTTATTGATTAGCTGGGAAATCAGTAACTATTCTTTGTCTTTTTTTTTTCTGCTTTGATTTATGTTGTGAAAATAAAGTTCTGTGGCAGGTCTTTGGGCTGAGTAACAGTGTGATGAGTCAAGCATATATTAAATATTGCTCAGAACAACTACGTTACCTACTGCTTTTCTTAAACCTGAGTATGTCCAACTGCTTATGTGCTAAAATGTCATTTTAGGATATCAAACCAGAGCAAACAGTGGCACTGGAATAGTCCTTCCCAGCCTGCAAAGGGATGCAGGAAACACTCTTGATAAGGACTTTATAGAGATACTGATTTGGACAAAAGATCTTCTAAAAATGTTTATTTTAATGCTGACTTTGCTTGCTTTGATATTAAAATTATACTTTGAGTTCAGGTAGCATTACCAAATTTTTATTAATTTCCCTGTGTTTTAAAGGAACTTTTGCACTTGTTACTCATACTTTAGATTCCTAATAGCAGTGCTCAGCATTTCACCCTCCCTTCTGCTGCCAGAAGAAGCTGGAGAAGGGGTTTAATGGCCAAGCTGATGCTTGGTAGTCCCACTCATTCGTCCATTGCTGGCCTTTGGCTGCCTTTCAGTTTGCCCTGGTTTGGAAGTGAGAAGCTTTAGACTGACACTAGTAGCTATCAGAAACTTCAGCAGCAAATTTTAATAAAAAGATATTTTTTAAAATGGAAAGTTTCTGTCTTATGCAAGCAGTGTCAGTAAAATTTTTGTTTTCTCCCTGTTTTTATTATCATAGGGTTCCTAAGGATGCTGAATAGAGACAGAGAACTTGGCATGTCAGGTGGCATCTCTCACCTGATTTCACTGCAGCTCAGTTTTGGTGTTCGTTTGCTTTTCAGTTTTGGTTTTCACTGACTCTGAAAGTGCAGAATACAAGCTTGATATGTGTCTCATTTCTAGCCAAGCATATCTTTATGGAAAAGTGACTAACTGCTGGCTGCTTTCTCTGCTTGCTTTGTCCCTCCTTCTGTCTTCTATTAACAAGACATCTCCCTGTACTTGCTAATAGATGCGTTCCCTCACATGCTTCTCATCTGGCTGCTGCTTCCTTCCTTCTGTTAAAGAATCTCAGAGCAGCGTTTGCTGAAGTGCTGAAAGCTGTCAGCTCCTTCCATGTGACCAGGAAAGTGTACTCGTGCAACACTTCTGAAAATGAGAATGCCTTATTTTGTTTATGCTTTTTAATGTTATTAGTAATAAGAAGCCTGTTAGGTTTAGGTTTTGCTTTTTTTTTTTTCCCCTCCTTGTGAAACAAAGACATTGCCATCTTTAGTTTATCTTGCATTATTTTGCTTGCCACCGCATCTCCAAAGCAAACCGTGATGTTTGCTTCCAGATACCCAGAGCTGAGTGCTGTGCCCTGAGTGGGCTGGGAGCTGGGAGCCCAGGGGTCAAATCAGCCCCGAGACCCTGCAGGCTCTGCTGCAGCACCGTGCTGAGAAACGGCAGCTGGAGCTGCTGCGAGATGGCAAGGCAGAAAGAAAAGAGGAAGCACAGGATTGACTTGATATTCATGCAGCTGTATTCCTTGGCACACACAGGAGGGTCAGTTAGTATTAATGGGAATTTTTAGGGGTCTCAGCTGAAAACCCTTGGACTTGGATAGCTCTGTGGTATGGGGCTTGCTCAGTGCTCCCAAATGAACCATCTGTCTTCTCTGCCTGGAAGGAAATTGCCAGAACAAGAACTTGCTCACCACTGTAAGCACTGAGACTCGTGCTCTTTATGGTGCTTTTTAGGGTCATTTGTTGTGACGTTTGTAGTTTTGCAGAAATAAGCACGCTATAAACAATAAGGAATGGGAAGTCTGGTTCTGGTTTGACAACTTCAGGCTCAATGGATACAAAGGCTTGAGTAAAAATGAATCCAATTTTGTATTTTAGGGTTCCTCAACTTGTCTTGTAAATCTCTTGTGCTCTGATGTATTCCCTAACCTGACAAAGAAAGCATTTTAATAGATTGAGGAAAAATCAGTGTGAATTTAAGCTGTATTGCTAGGAGCAGACCAGCAAAATTACTTTTCCTTTATTAAAAAATAAAAAAACAAAGACATGCTGCCCATAATAGTGCTGTAGATAAATGAGGAACAGAAAGCAATGAAGATGATTTTTCTTTCAGAAGAGGATAAGGACTTGAGGATAGAAGTGCTGGGTGCTCAAGAAAGCTGTTGTTTTTTTTTCTTTAAGTGGGCATGAGTCCATTTTGTTGTGCTGTGTGAGTGCTGTGTAACAGAACTCTGTTCCAACACCGCGTATCCACAGAATGCAGAGCTGTAAGCACTTCTTCCATCTATCTGCCTGTTTAAGTGACTGGTTTATAATAAATCTGCTGTCAAAATTGCTTCCATAGTTTATTGTACAAAACTCCCATCATCTCATCTGCTTTCTTTTTCTAGAGGAGAAAGTTATATTGACAAGAAGTGCATACTTGTCTCCGTGCTTTGGAGTTACTTCACCAGAAGCAGCTCTTTAGGGAGCAGTCCCCTTTAAGAGCTTATTACTGGGTCAGCAGCAGTGCTCATCTGGATTTGGAAAATAAATTCACAGATGTCCCAATCTTTGTTCGTGGAGCTTGGTTCAATACCAGCATTGTCAAAGTGTTGATTTTTTTCATTGTGCTTCTGCCCTAACAGATGTAATGTTCTGTCATACAAGCAGTACTGCAGGGTTCTGTTGGACACAGCAGCTGAGTGTTGAGGAAGAAATTCAATTTAAAATAATTACACAGTAATAAAAACAAAAATGCTGTTTTAAACAGTTAGCTGAAAGGTGTGTGTGTGTGTGTGTGTGTCTAAATGATATACCCAGACATTAGATGTGCCAGAATAAATTATTTGGAACTGGTGTAAATTACCGTTTCTATATTAAGCAGAATCCTGATGAGCCCTTTGCCAAGAGTTTGGGAAGAAAAAGGTTTTCTTCAGCATGTTGTTTTATAAACAGCATCTAATTACTTCCTAGGATGGGGA